TTCGCGCTCACTTCACAGGAGAATGTATGTGAAGTGAGCGCGAAGAGCCGCACATACGGCACGCTACGCTCCTGCGTACTCCGGCTAAGCGCGATCTAATTGATTAACTTTATTCGTTAATAACTCTGTAAATAATAGTCTGAGCCAAAATTGAAAGAGGAACTTTTAGTTCAAAATTTCATTCTCTTTGACGCCTTGAAATATTAATTAAGCGTTACGGGACACCCTGTATATATTTAAATATTTAAATTTTATTTTCGACTTTTTTATAAAATGTTTTTAAATTTATATATGTTTCAAAAGACATATTCAAAACAAAAAATTTTCCCACATTTTATATAGAGATGATAAATATACGTACAATAATTATATATAATTTAATTCAAGACAGTATTTAAAGTACAGTCAAGAAACAAATAGAAATGAACAATTAATGAATAAAAAAATATAATAAAATATAGAAATAATTTATTAATATATTAGAGGAAATAAAAGCCAACAAACGAGCAAACAAAGCCATGTAGTAATAATTATATCTTTTTATTCGGTAAAATTATAGCTGAATGTTTCGACCTTATTAAGTCTTCTTCAGCAGCAAATACAAATTTTCAAATTATAATTAATTACATTAATCTTACAATTAGTCGGAGAACATGCAACTTTTCCTTTCCGGGATGAGTCATGGTATCAAAACTTAAAAAAATTTTTGAATTGTCAAAGGGACATTGATTGAAGAAGGCCACGTGATTATCGATCCATCAATAATCGAATATAATTGCCAAAAATTGCCAAAAGAAGAGGCGAATGGCTTCAAACAACGATCTTGTTTTTAAATCTTGGACATTATGATTCACACTGGAAAGGAAACATTGCGTATTCTCCGATTAGGATTAATGTAATTATAATTTGAAAATTTGTATTTGCGGCTAAAGAAGATTTAGTAAAGTCAAAACTTTCTGCATTAATTTTACCCAAAAAATTTATATAATTATATTACAACATCTTTGTTTACTAGTTTATTGTTTTTATTTCCTCTAATTTCTATTTTATTCTAAACTATTACTCCATATAAAATTTTTATTTTTATTAATATATTTTTACCCGAACTCAAGTCCAATCTAAATTCATTCATTGTTTTAAAATTTAATAACAAATCCAAAAGTTTTACTTAAAGTTACTTGAAGTTGCCAAAAATTAGTTTTGATACAAACATGTTTAAACTCATATGAACCCAGAAAGTTACTGATTTGTTTAAAAAATATATAATTGTAGGAACTATTTACGTAATACTGAAAATATTTATATAAAAATTATATTATATAATACAATAGAATTAGAAAAAAATCAATTTATTAAATAAATTCATTAATAATTAATCTAACATTCAGTTTGTAAAAAAGATATTTTATCTCATGTTTCATGATCATAGAACAAATCGTCATTAAGTAACAGAAAGCAAATCACATATTGAACACAAAGTATAAAAATTTTGCAATAAAACTAAATGTTTTCATGTATCAAATGAGACATTATAGAATCCATCTTTATAACTTGTACTTTTGATATTAATGATTTCATTGAATCTGTATTGTATGAAGACCAATAACTTATCAATTCTGGAAATTCATTGTTATCGAGATACTTGACTTCTACAGAAGTAAATTGTTTTCGTGAATTTAAATTTGGTTGACAGTTAAGTTTATGTTGACACAATTGTATTACATCACATTGACTAGCATTAATAGCTTGAACATCTGTATAATTCACAAAAACTATGAGAACTCTTTCTATAAGTGTTTGTTCCATAATAATTGTTTTTTCTATATGTTTCAATGGTAAATCCATCCATTGCCAGAACTTAATGGCGAATCCAAAAGTATAAGATTTATTCGAAGTTATTAAAAACACTGGTTTAGATGCAAATGTGTTTGAACTTACATGATCCCACAAAGTTATTGGTTCATTTGTTAATCTCTGCAAAGTTAAATTTATATTTGTATGACAAAATTGCCCTGGACATACGCCTTCATTTTCTATAGTCAAATGATGATAAGAAGTAGGTCTCCAACTATATTCATCTTCATATGGTTTTATTATTTCAAATAGTCGTGGTAATGCTGCTGATTCTGAAAATTTTTTATGTATCTGTGTTATCTTTAAATTATGGAATAATCTTTTCAAAGACATGAATCTTGTTACATCTGCAACAAATAAATATTTATTAATGGTATAAATAAAAATGACTAAAATTAAAGAAATATTTAAATAACATACATTTTGCATTGTCATCATAACAATTATAGGATATAGTGCCATTAGAAACAAGGTTATATATATCAATGAAAATACAATTATTAATTGAATAACGTTCCAACAATTGACCAGTCTTCCCAGATAAAAAAACAAGAGATGATATACTTTTATCGTCTATTGTTATACTTAATAAATCTTCAATATTATCAGTATCAATGTCTGGTATAATAACTGGTAATTTAGGGACTGTACGAATTGTGGAACTCCAATGAATTGTTCCAGCAATCGGTTCTATGCTAATGAGTAGGCCTTCTTCACCGACAACAATACAGTCCGGTTTTCCAGATTGATCAATATCAATACTAGTACAATCTATAATAATAGGTAATTGTTTTAATGGAACCAGCCATAATGGTAATCCATTATTTCCTTGCATTGATATAACTCCTCCTCCTTCTGAAGGTATCTGTCTCTGATGAATTACTTCATCTTTTGTATCATTTCTTTTATATTGTTCACCATGAAGAAGAAATATTAGATTGTATGGAGATCCAGGTACTACAGTAATAGGCCCATATATTTCTATATTTAATAAAAAAAATATAAATTAATATTAAAATTACATTATTAAATTGTAAAAAGTTTTATAATTTATTTTAATTTAATAATTATTAATATATTTAATGCAAATATCATAGGCTAAATAATTTATTTATTTTATATTTATTTGTGTTCTATTAAAAAATTTAAAAAATAAAATACTAATATGTATCTTGCAATAATGAACTTACCTACATCTTGCAATGTTTTATCCCACGATACAGACGAATGTGGCTCAATAATTGGTGAACAAATCATTGAACTATCACAAGGTAATACATACAAAAAAATAACTATTGTAATAATGCATATTAATATAGATACAAATAAACAAAAACGCCTTATTGGCGATATATCTTTTCTTTTCCAAAAATTATCTTGTTCACTTCCCTCAATTACCATTATTGGTATATCATCTCGATAACATTTGATTATATTTTGTTTGTTTCTTGTGTTATTTTCTAGATTTTGGGTTTCATCCAACGGATGAAATATGCCATTTTCATGATTTGAATGTAATTCCTAAATTAAAAAAAAATTAAATATTAAATTAAAAAATTATATAATATATTTATAAATATTAATAGTATCATTTGTGTGTGCTTGTGTGCTTGTGCGTGCGTGCGTGCGTGCGTGCGCGCGCGCGCGCGCGTGTGTGTGTGTGTGTGTGTGTGTGTGTGTGTGTGTGTGTGTGTGTGTGTGCGCGCGCGCGTGCTCGCACCTTGAATTCTTTAAATGAAACCTATTTTTTATTGCATATTCTTGTCTCGAGAGCTTTCCAAAATACTAAAATAAAATATTTTTCCATTAAGCACTTTCGAGTTATAAAGCTTGAAAGTTACAATACCGCCGACATTAACCGGCATTAGCAAAGGAGTCTCAACAATGACTAAAACTTTTTGAATGTTGTTCAGGATCATGAGCTTGACAACATATGTCAAGGTCATGATCATTGGAGGATGTTGCCCTTATTTTCATTTTTGAAAATTATTTTTATTTTTTGAAAAACTAATATAATAATATTGACTTAAAAAATGAATTATTTAAACATCTAAATATTATTTTTGAGTAAAAAGAATTTTTTTCGAAAAAGAATGTAACAAAATTATTCTTATAGCAGATTAGTTATTAAATGTCATTTGTTTCAATCAAAATGTGTACAAAAATATTAAAATAAAAATATTATATAGTGCAGCTTTTATAATAATGTGCATGATGTGTAATAATGTACTTTTCACTACCGATTTGCCATATAAGGTACAATACATTTTCCTATCATTTGACCAATGACAAAATTAACATTTTTTCTATTGACAAGAAAATTTCTTATACATATATTTATTGAAATTAATGTAAAGAAGTATGTAAAATCAGTCAATAAAAAAGATCTTTATACAATATTTTACAATAAAAAAGATCTTTATACAATATTCGATCAATGAAAAAACATCAATGAAAAAAATAAGTACCGAAAAATCAAGTTTAAATGTCAAATTTTTATATAAATATATTCAAATTATTATATTCACAACTTCTATTAGTCCTTGTCACAAAACAAATAATATGGATAGCAGTATATTTGTACACAATATCAACATTACCAAAATTCTTTAAAGGAGAATGAAATTTTGAGGAAATGAAACTCTTTTATTTAATTATTCTCTTAAAATTAATAATCAAAAATTGATTATGCCTTAAAAGTTCAATGTTACCGGCAGAGAATTAGGAACGACATTTCTAATTTCTTGTCTTTACTTTAAGGAAGTCATTTTAAACTTTTATAGAAATTAATTAATTAACTATTTTATATTGAATTTATTTTACATTAAATTCTGAGAATAGTCTAAAAAATACTATAAAAGCATCTTCATCTTTGTTTTCTACATCAATACCAGCAATCGTTAAATACTATGCTCGTTAGCTTTTTGGATGCCGAAAGGAAAAAATATAATCTTGCACTAAGTATAAATATAAATAATAAACAAATAATTATTCATGTCCAAGTTTTAATTACGTAAACTTCGATCACATGGAGAACCCGACAAATTTTACATTGCAGAAACAGACGTTACTTAGCTGCAGTCTTGTAAATTTTCAAGATAACGTAAATCATGTTCAGTTTCTGCCAATCTGATGATAACTTTCCATTTGATAGATCTATTCAATTCCTGCTGTCAATCTGCTATTAGAAGGCATTCTGTATTTTATGTGGGTCCTGTTTAGTTTCTGTCGCTAATCTGTTATCAAATTATAAAATTCTGCCATCATTGTGCCGATATAGCATGACAACAGGCTTTGTCATATTTCTGATGGCAGTTTACCGACATAATCAGATATTTTGTGTATTACCTTTCAAATCTGCCATCAAAAATTTTAGAATGCTCTACTTAAAATCTGTCTCTGCAGACTATTTGAATATTTGATCCCAAGAAAAATTTTAGTTTAGAAGTTAATATTCTTCTTTAAATTTAAGAATTTCTATAAAAATTAGGACCAAAACATTTTTAGAACTTTTCTACAAAAATTTAACATATATAATTCCATTGACATATGCATTCCTCTGTAATATGTATTAGGTACATATACTAATGATTATCTAACATACATATATTCTTTATTTAACTTATGTGTGTGGGTGTGTGTGCGTGTATGTGTGGTAGTGTGTGTGTGTGTGTGTAATTCTCTTACCGCTATCGTAGTATTGTCGACTTTGTAAGTAATATCGTTAGATTGAGTTAAACGTTCCTCCTCATCTTCGGTATCAGTATTGCTTATACTTTGTGGAAGAGGAGTATAACCTTTGCCACTATGATCGATCGACATGTTCCACGAGTATAACGTAACTATTTCTCTCTTTCTATAATATAACTAAATCATAAGTATTGCTTTAGGATCAGCATGTATGACGAACACTGATCTCTAATAATGCCACAAATTTCTATATATTACTAATTAGACTCAGCGCTTATTCCGCTATTTAAAACCAAGAATGTAAGTAATCATTTTATGTAGGTCCTTAAAGTTACACAAACTCGGTACTTAAAGTACATAATGCCAATTGCCAACCATAGACAACAGGACAGAGACTGTCACAGATATAGATTAGAGTCCTAGAATATAGAGATGCGACACGGCGTCAGTTAGGTTAGGTAGCCACCGCCATTTTAATTCAGTAAAGTACTCCTAATCTTATAAGCTGATGACAGTTGATGCAAAAAGAAAATACTTACACCATAATAATAGCTTTTTATTGCATTTCAACACTTTGTATTGTCTTAATTTTTCTCTATATAATTTATATGTAATATTTTACAAAGCTGTATCTTGATGCATTAGGTGCAATAGTGAATTAAAATGGCGCTTTGATCATTTGATTGGTGCTTTGTCAT